TTTTATTTTATTTTATTTTATTTTATTTTATTTTATTTTATTTTATTTTATTTTATTTTATTTTATTTTATTTTATTTTATTTTATTTTATTTTTTTATTTTATTTTATTTTTTGATATATATATATATATATGTTTTTTCCTTTTCTCCATCCTTTCAACCTTCTCTGCCTTTCAACACTGAAACACCACAAGTTTCCTGTGTAATCCTTCTTCTACTTGATAATACTGTTGGGAATCTGACTTCTCCATGGCAGTAAGCTCCTCTAGAAAAAGAGCTGCTAGGAGAAGGCTGCGTAGTACTTAGGGCAAGGATGGAGGCTTTCCTTTTCCTCACAAAGTTGCTTTGCTTTGTTATTTGTTTGGGGGACAGAGATTAAATCATCCGATGGTGCAGCCTGCCAAGGATTCTCCATGGCCTGAATTTCTTGCACTTTCAAAACTTTCCAAAAATGTTCGGTTAGCATCAGTGAGTCACAACTCATCTGCCACCATGAATTAATTTGTATCTGTCCCTACATCTGTAACTTTTCTTATGTCTCTCTTTTATTTCTCTGTAGCATGAGCCAGCTGGAAGGGCAAAGGTTTTCTGYAGCGCTTTTCCCCAGGCTGCTTGGGATGTCATATGCACAGTTTATGATCACAGACTTTTAGCTCTGTTATCTCAAAACAGAACCCAAGAAGAGTAGGCTGGGGATATTGTGACCCTTCCAGGAGCAGCTGGGTATAGCTGAATTCCTCCCTTCCAATCTTTATTTACAAATCAGCTACGTAAATACAATTCCCCGGTTTCCCACTGATGGACTCTTTAGGCTTTCAATCACCAGATCTACTTTTTTATTTTACTCCTCTCTATATGTTCATTTGAGGTCTAAGATTAGCCAACAACCATCAGGGAGTGATAGTGTCAGATGGGTGCCAACGGGCAGCCCAAGAGCCTCGGCTTACGGCTCCTTATGCCGAAGAGCTGCCCAACAGAAGTAAAACCCTTCAAGCCAGTCTGACTGTTGCTGCCCAGAAAAGAGCTGCGGGGTGGCAGTCACAGCGACGAGCAGAGCTGCACAGACCATGGTGGCCTGGAGGATGCTGACAAGAAAGGCTGGAAGGAGCCAAGAGAGTAAGAGAGTCATGCCCTGGGCACTGAAATGCGTTGGGTGTTGTCCTCTGTCATAACCCTTTGTGGTCATGTATCTTCTGCTGGCCCATTTTTCTGTGCTGGGAATTTCCTGCCAGCACTTAGGGGCAAGCAGTTCCTTCCATGCCGATTTTGTGAGTGCTGTGGCAGGCTCTGTGCCATTTCCTTAACCGTGTCACATCACCAGCCGTAACAGCACTGTGGAGCATCTGCCAATGTACAGCCCAAAGCCTCCACAGTAAATAATGACAAACCTTTGATAACAGATCTTAAAAGCTCTAATTTCATTGTTGCCACTCCAAGTGGGCCATATCTTACTTTAGTATACAAGTAAAGCACCTGCAGGATAATTAGCCYAGAGTTCAGGCGAGGTGGCCTGACAACTCCTTTGGAGAGAAGGCAGTTCCAGGGAACAGTTGTGTCCAGAGAAAATGAGTTATTTGTATTTGGTCACAGCAACAGATCAGCCAGTCCTGTCTCTTTTCTTGGAGACACCTGTAATCAYGGAGGCAGCAACGCTTGGTGCTGGCCTCAATCCCCAGCTGTGGTTCACAGCCTGGCTGTGAAAATCTTGGTGTTTATAGTGGCAAATGCACCTGGAAATGCGGGACTGCAGAGGTTGCAACTTGTCACAGGGCACGAAGTGAAGTGGAAGTTCCCTCTGGTGGAGGAACAGACCCACTACAGCCAGAGGAGGTAGATGGAGGTGCAAGGTTCTCTTTGAAGACCATTTCAAGGGTGCTGAACTGCCCCTATGTGTCGTTGACTGCAGCTTCAGCTGTAGGTCATGGGTGCTGCACATTTTCTGGGAACCAGGTCCAGAGGGTCTGCAGAGTAACAGACTGGACACCCGTTGTTGTGGGGCTTTGAGCTGAGCTGGAGGAAGGCGTTATAAGGGCTAGATATTGCTGTAAAAGGAACTTCCCGTTGTGGGAACAGCAAAGGGTGAGGAGGGCTGTGGTCTGGGACTGATGAGGTCTGGGATCAACCCCTCTTTCTGCTACCTCCTCCTGGAAATGCCCAGTCTCTCCCTAGAGCTGTTCCTTGAGCGTGACTGATGAAACATGGGGGAATTTCAGTCACTTTGAGCTCTGTTGTATCAGAAAATGGGGTACATTTGTGGCAAGCAAGAAGGTCTAGGAAAGAGGGAAGGGCTAGGCCTGGAGGCAGAGATCCTGCAGGGCACCCAGAGTACCAAGACCCCAGGCCAAGCATCTGACACGAGGCCKTCTGCTCCAAGAAATGCCTGGAGGAGAAGCGCGGCCTGAGGCTGGTGTCCAAGCGACAACCCTGAGGTCTAGGGTTTTCCTGGGAGCCTACTGCGAGCTCCCGGGACCACGGGGGCTTCAGAGAKGGGGGAAACCACAATTATGTTGGAATCAACCTGTGCCAAAGAGAAAGAGGGGAGCTCGGGAAAGGGCACCTCGCGGGTGAGGGGAACATCCCCCGTGGAAAAGGCTCCCGGGAGCCGCGGGGCGGAGGGGCGGGCGCGGGGGCGGCGCGGCGCGGCGCGGGGC